TGCTGGCGCGCGTGCAGAGCGCCGCCGGCACTGCGAGCTGCTGCAGCTTCAGGGTGGACCCGACGATGGTGGAGCATACTTTCCGTCGCCGTACAGCACGCGGTCACGAGCACAGCCCTCGGCAGGCCGTGGCCGCTACCGCCGCATGCAGCCCGCGCGACAGGCCCGCCCCTCGACCGCATCCTCGACCTGGCAGAGGCCGAGGGGCCGAGCCGCCTGCCATTGCGCCCAGCGCCGTAGCCGCAGGTGTGCTAGGTCTAGACGTAGGATCCGCCGAGCAGGCACGCAGATGCACGAAGTGGGCAGGAAAAAGGTGCGTGAGGGAAAAAAAAGTTTGCCAAATGGCTTCGTCGTGGGCGGCGGCGCAAGTGGAGGACTCGGAAGGTGGCATGGTGCGGACAGCGTGCTTTGCTTGCGACATCTTGCGACAATGCACACGTGTAGGCTACTGTCTTAATGACTTCGTCTGAGTGTGGCCGAAATGGTGTGTACACTCGGGCCCCGCGAGTCTAGACACGAACGTACTCGGACTAGTCGGAAGGTTGGAATATGCGACGAGTATGAAGGCAGCACCGTGGCATCCACGACATGGAACTCATGTCTGCTGTTGCGGTCATCGGTTGAAACAACGATATGTTCTGGTTCGGTTCTATCAGTGTCGATTGCATCTGTGTAGCCACCCCGGTTGGTGTGGCCACGTCCAAGCCATCATGCTGCCATCTTGCCACTCGCACGACTGAAACCATGCAGTCGTCAGAGTCAAGCCTTGAGCAATTAGTGGCAAGCGTTTTTTTATGTTTTTTTTGTTCACGCACCTTTTTGCACCTGCGAGTAAAGAGGTCCAGGTCCTTGTGCCAACTGCAGGCTACGGCGGTGGGACGCCTACGCACGGGCAAGGAGGCGGCTGGGCTCACGCTGCGCCGCAACGGAGATGAGGCCACTCCAGCGGAGAACCCATGCGGCTTGGGCGGAGTTGCGGACAGCGGCAGGGGCACTGGCTGCGCGCGCCCGGGCGAGGAGGCGAACAAAGGTGGCGGCTTCCTCAGCCCAGCGTCCGCCAACCTCGAGACCAAACACGACCAGGCGACAGTCGATCTCTGGGTACGTTTGCCGGCGTTTGCGTCGTGCGGCATTGCGGACGGCCCAACCAGGGTGTTTGTCGGCTCCCGTCATGCGGGCGGCCATCGCGGGTCACCGGGCCGACGAGCGTGGCGTCAACGGCAAGTTGCCGCCGTGCCAAAGCGGCAATCCGTTGCAGACGACCTCGATGCGCCGCGCATCGTGGACCGGCACATCAATGTTCATGGCGGCTTGCGCGACATTGTTCCGACCCGGGCCCCGGCTTCTTGGCAGACGCGGGCGATGGCGCGTTCCAGGGGCAATGCTCGGGACGCGAGCACGCCTGATGTGGAGCATGCAGCTCGGTGGTCTCCGTACGCATCGAGCGCGCCGCGGCAGGAGCAGCTGCGCGGGCCAAGCGGGAGGGGCATGCGCAAGCGGCGCAGGAGCAGGACGCGGAAGTGTGAGTCGGGTATGGCAACATATCCGACGTGGGCAGCACCGTGAAAGCACGAGCCGCGTGAGGACCGGCTTGCGAGAGCAGCAGCGCTCGGGACGCAGGGGACAAGTCAGCAAGGTGCGTCTCGAGTGTGCGCTTATCGCAAACGTGGGAAGCTCTGCGCTGCATTGCGCTGCCATCCACGCAGGAAATCGGCGGGCTCGTCATGTCGGGAGTGCAGTTCGGAGAGGGCCTCATCCCAAGCCGGCACCGCGTAGCCTTGTGTGGTCAAGTAAGCCGCTGCCTGTGTTGCAGCCAACAGCGAAGGCAACCGCGCAGCTCTGTTTTCGCGTAAGGCTGCGAGCAGGCGCTCCCCAGCTGAGGGGACTTGAGCTTGGATGACCGGCAGGGTGTCCATCCAAGAAGCCCAGTAAGCTGCGTGGCGGTCGGTATCAGCTGCTCGCAGACCAAGTCCGCCAAACCGCAGCGCAAGGCGTGCTGCTCGTGCTGGTTGGGGGGGCAACGGCGCGTCCGCAAGGCCCAAAGCGCTGAGAGGCAGCAGCCGACGGCCGCGTCATGCGAGGAAGCATAGGCTGCTGTCGTAGCTGGGGGCAGGGAGCGCAGGAGGTAGTTCGTGGAGCAGCACAGTAGTGCAGCAATAGCCATGCTGCCTGCAAGTCTTGGACCGACGGGATGCGCTGCAGGAGGCGGTCATGCTCGTCGCGTTTGAGTGCCAAGCGGTGTTGGACGTAGGCGTCGCTGCCGACAGGCGTGCCGAGGACAGTGAGCCCTTGTTGGGTTGGCGGGAGCGTCCAATCCCCGACCCACACAGCGGCGTCAGCCTCGCCCTGCAGCGCGGCGATGCCCGGTGGCTCCTCGCCTGCCGCGTTCCAAATTCGCGTCTTGCGGCTGTTGAGCTCGATGCGCGCGTGGGACCACAATGCCCGCTGGTACGTCGAGTACGGTTGGCAGCATTTCACTAGCGCCCAGATAGCGCCAAACGCCAACAGCAAAACATAAAAAATAAAATAAGCAACGTAAACATCAATCACACAACATCTCCTCAAGGGTTTGCAATCCGGAAATCGCTTGAAGGCCTCTGTGGCTATGGAACGCCGTCGGGCTTCCAGTCCAGAATCCAATTAGAACCTGAAGGACACTTGGGTTCCTCGAATGTTTTTGCGCCTCCAGGTTTCCAGGGTTTCATCATTTTCGAAAAACATGACGTAAAGGTCCACGAGCGGCTCAATTCATCACGCAGCAGCATGACTCCTACGACTTCACGGTTTCAAACTTGAACAATCATGGCGAAAAGAGTCCGAGTAACAAGATGGCAGCATGATGGCCTGGATGGCCTCCCATACTTTAACCAGCACTGGTCTTGGTTGCAACACCAACCGATGGGATGGGGGTGGCTACACTGCTACAATCGACAGTGGTAGAATCGAACCACATTGGCAGGTATGGTCTTTAGGCCGCGGATGAAAGGTTGCTCCTTTCACTCGCAGTTGCAAAAAGGTGTAAAAAAAAAAGCTGCCTTGGCAGTTCCGCAATTGCGGCCCAAGCCTACGGCGGCACCATGCTGGAGACCCGCAAACCTGTTCGTCAGAGACTTGGCACGCGTCCGAGCCCATGGCTTTTGCACATGCACATGTCCGGGCCAGCTTCGTGACAAAGACTTTGGTCGTGTTCGTGTTGAAACCTTTCTTGGGCATACCCAAACGCTTTATCCATGACACTATCGTTTTGGTCATTGTTTTCTTGGACGAGTTGGCCGTCAGAGCGGGAAAAAAGATAACCAAGCTGCAAGACTGGCACCTCAGCATCCCTGTTTTCGATGTGCCGATGGGTGCCTTGCCAGGAATGCAATGGCGGCACCAAATCAGCCCGGGTGAAGTTGTGCCGTCATCTGCACCGACGTTGCCATCCTCCGGAGCTGACTCTTCAGCGGAGGCGGCCTTGTAAGCTGTTGTATTCGCATTCGATTGATGCCCCACAGCTGCTTGCGTTTTGATGTGTCGAAAGCGGCATTGGGAACATGCTTTGCGCTGGGCTCGTGGTGACGCCCGAATCAACCATAATGTAAGCTAGCCCTCCGTCACCATGCGTTGTGGAACGGCCTCGGTAATTCGGTACCTCAGCCTCAGCTACTGCAAACAGCATCGGCTGTTGCGCTGTGAAACGGCGGGTCGTTTGGCCTCTGTGGCCGAGGTTGGCAGACGACGCGGACGAAGCACTCACCGAGCATGCGTCGGGACACTCTGTTTGCGGGAATGCTGCGTAATGGTTTTGAAAAAAAAGCCTTCCCTTCAAACGCTGTAGGACGATTCGTCCGAGGACGTGTAACACATGGTGCACTCAGGCGACGGTTCACGAATGTTCGCGAGAACAGCTTGCGCTTTCGTGGTCTGAGTGCTCATTGCGATTCGCAGTGACGGCCGTGCGTAACCTGGTGCAAACGTTTCCGCAAGTCACGCCTGTTTCGGGCTTTGTGCGACCACTTTTGCCGTTGGACGCGCTTGGCACTTGCCGCTGGCCGAGGCGCTGAAGCGCCGAGTCGCGCCGCGTTGTCACAAGCTTGCGTGACCCCGAGCTCAGCACGCTTCTGCCGCCCCGCCCTGCTGCCTGGCAGGTGCGAGTGTTTACGAAGCGTACACGTGTTGAGCTTGAGTGTGCTTGAGTGTCGTACATGTGCCGCGACCCACGTCATGAAAGACAGGACCACATGCATGTGACCGTCGTAGGTCCTCGCCGCCGGAAGAAGCCAGCGTTTGCTTCGCGCGCGCGCGCGCACGGTTACGCGGAGCTGTTAGTGTCTAGAACGACCGACAGTCAGTGGCCCGACACCAACTCCACCGCCAAGGCGACACCGGGATAGCACAACACATCCAAGGCCAGCAACAGCGGCGCCACAACCGCGCCGCAGTAGAGTGGAGCCAGCCTCGCTTGGGATGGCGCTGAACTGAGCCACACGGCAGCGTGCGGTTCGGACTGCGATCGCAGCATGCCTGTGCAAGGAAAGGTGTGCAGCTCAAAAAATCCTTTGGAAAAAAGTGTTCAGGGCAGGCACCAGCTCCGTTTTCGCGAATTAAAATGAGTAAAGCAAGCGCGGGACCCATGGTGCTGCCATCCGTGGCGCGTCTCGCCAGGTTCAGGCATGTCGTATTGTGCGGGGCGCAGACCGATGAGAACGTCGCGCCAGAAAGAGTGATGCAAGTGGCTCGGATGTAACCCGTAGCCGTTTCAAGCTCGAGAAGCTTCCATGTTTCATGAAGAACAAACGATGCGACATCAGGCAGCCAGTGCAAACTCGATTTGGTCAGCCCTGAATTCCTGTAAGACGGTGCATGGATCACGGGTACTGGAGCCTTGCATGGCGTGTGCGCGGGCTGGGCACTCTGTCCTGGAGGAAGTGATAGCATGTGTGTACTATCGTTGCCTGTTGTGCTTGGACGAAGCTGCCCTCAGCAACGTTGGAGCATGCTGTCGATCGTTAGCCTGCATGGCGGCCGAAGAAGGTCTGTGGCAACGTTTGGTGATGTGCCAGAATCGGCTCGCCACCTCGAGGTTTCTCGGTGCGTTCAGTCCCGAAGCTCGTGAAGTGGCTTCCGATGATGTTCGTCCGGGGGTGGCAGCTTGCCGATTTGAGCCCGGTGCATCGGCGACAGAGCTTGAGCTGATCAATTGGCGCGACATGTGTCGACAGCTTAACATGTCAATGGCAGAGGCTCCATGGGCATACGAGCTGTGTGAGGACGGATGTAGTGCAGCCTTGTGGACCGAGCTGACCGACGACGCTGCGATCCCAGCCGCCTCCTCTTCAGCTGCCCAAGGGTCGAACAACGTCGTATTAGCGTCGCAGTCTCCTCATTTATTTTGGATAGGGGGCGATCGAATGCTGGGCATCGCCGGTGGTTATTCGCCCGATGTGGTCGGTGGAGCTTCACTTCATCCTCTGCGCGAGGTCTACCAGTTGGATTTGCCCAACGTTTCGGGTCATGGCAGCCGATTGACGCGGCCTGACTTGCAGGTGCGGCGCTTGGATTGCGGCACGGCAGGGGGCAAGCTTCCTCACGGCCATCCATCGATGAACGGGGCCGCCAGTGACTTTGATCCGCATCGAAAAACCATATTCTTTTTTGGTGGGGGCGCCCCGCATTCGGATGTCACAAATGCAACGACAGCGTTGCGTTTAGACGGCTGGGAGGGCGAGTCTCCGAGTGCCATCTGGCAGCAGATTACGACTCATGGATCTGTCGAGTCGGGCCAAATTCCGAGTGCCCGGCAAGGTCTCAAAGGGACTGTCTTCAATGACGAGTTCGTCATATTTGGGGGTCGTATGTTGGGTGGACGATGCACCAACGAAGTCTGGTCGCTGGATCTGGGTCCCGACACAGGCGAGCAGATGCAGCGCATGCAGTGGGGCGTTGATCTTGATTCAGACCTGTCATTCTCCGAGGTGCCAGCGGGTCAACAGACCTGTCATGGAGGTTTGGACGTGTCGTGATGTGTGCGACTTGATACGCTCATAGGAACAGGTGGCTTGAGTGCAGTTCTAGAACCATGCCAGGCCATTGGAATGTGATGGGCAAAGTCCTTCTCCTCGAGTTTGGCATGGAGCATGCCAATTGGTGCACGGCCAATGGTGGCATGGCTGATACTTGTAGATCTGACAGATGTTACGTAATAGCGTGTCGAAGGCCACGGAGAGACAGAGAGAGAGGCATGCAGCACGAGGCATGCTTACGCTCAGTGGAAAAAGAGGAAGCAGAACTGCAGCCGATCCTTCAGCCGAGGTTCATATATGGTGGAAGTACCTGGCAGTTCGAGGTTGGTACAGATTGCAACACTTGGAGCATGAGGAATGAGCTGGTGCAGGAGCCCGATCAACCACACGACTTCCGCACCCTTTTCGTGGCAGCCCTACTGACGGTGGTGTGTAATCACATCAGACCGTGGCAGCACGCAGCAGTAGCATGTTCTGTCCTTTCTGAGATCCTACACCTGGCGGCGAGGCAGTGCCGACCGCAAAAAGGGGCCATCTTCTCAAGAACTCGACCGGACGACGGTTGCAGGCGCTGGTCCTCAGTACACCACGCCCCCGGTCCTGAGCCGCCGTGGGCAGTTGCGGCCGCCCTGGTTCCGCAGGGCCCTCTACGGAGCGTTTTGACACGAAACCGCAGTGCGCGGTTTCGCCCGCGAGTGAAGGCTTGGCTGCTGCCAGCTGCTGCTGCTGGGTGGGACGTTGCCCCACAAGTCCTCTTCTGAGCACGTTCCTGTCATGTATAAGCCGCCCTCAGTGATCGGCCACACCAGGCTGGGCAGCCAGGGTCTCAATGCCCATAGCTTACGCCAATGGCGAACGTGGTGAGGGGCCGAGCATGGCCGAGTATTTCCTTGAACGATAACGTGTTAAAAATCAGAAGTTGGAACGACCGGCTCACGAGTTCGCAGGTACAGCCGACTAGACGAGCCTTTTGCCACGAGCTCAGATCGTGACCTTAGAGGTATGTACACGAAGCTCCAAGCGCCTGAGTGCCATGACGGCTTGCCAAATTTTCAAAAAGCTTCATTGGCTGTAACAGTGTCGCTTGGCAAGTGGCCACAGGCTTTGGCAGATCCTCAGCCGTTGTTGCTCTATGTTTTGCTGCATACTCCCTGTGCACGGAGTGCGACCCTGCCAGGTCTTTGATTTACGGACCAAGAAGTGGAACCAACATCATGCGGCAGTCGCAGCCACGGTTCTTCCCTCAGCACTGTTGGAAAACGTTTAAATCTCATGTTGAAGTTTGAACTAAGTCCCAAGACCTTGAGCAGCACGTTGCGGAGGCGTGTGTGTTTTTTTGCATGGTTTCGTCTGTCGGAATTTGTGTCAGGATGTGTCGATTTGGAATGCTGGTCAGGTGTACTTGCGAAGCCATTTTCCGGCATGCTTCATTCCACATCGGCGTCACCGACTTGGGTTTCACATACTCGCGCATCAGCTCCGGATGATTGACAGCGACGTGGGGATGTGGAGCCGAGGTTCCGTGATCGCTTTCGGTGGCTCTCGCTACTTCACAGGCGGAACGCGTCACAGCATGCTGCCGGATGCGCAGAATCCAGGATGCAGCTGCCGAGGCGAGTACTTCAACGATGTGCTGGAGCTGCAGCTTCCCTCTTGCAAGCATGGGCCGCGCGCCTACTCGTGACTTGTGTCGATGCGGGTGATCACTGGCACCGCATCTTCGGCCCAGGCCAAGAGCAGCATTGCTTGGCGAAGGTCGTCGGCAGGTGAGACGGGTCTTGCTCCAACGTGCTTGTTCTTTCCTCCGCCACCCTTGCAGGAGTCACGGCAGCCCTTGTGTGCAGCATTTCAGGCCGAACAGGCGGAACCCTTCGAATATCTGCATGACCGCCGCGCCAGGCTCCAGCGGCGCTGCCTCGACATTTGCAAGTCGCAGACGGCCGTGAGGTGCGGGTCCCAGCGGATTCGCAGCGGTCCCGGGCTCACGGTCAAGTTTCACTGCCACCAAGGCCAGTCTTACACGGGGCTTCCTCGGGCGCCTTCGCGGAATGCTCCAGGATGGCATCATCAACCAGGATGGAGCCTACGACACAGTGCACGGTGCAAGTCGTTGTGAAGTCCACCTGTGAGGAGCAGTTCGACATGATGCGCTCCCCGACATGATTCTCCCATGCGCAGTGTTTCACTCAACCTCCCACATAGGAGGACCCCGAAGTTCGTTTTCAGATCGCAGTGCGGGACGGAAGCGCGTGACGAGCATCATGGCATTCGCTGTATGGCTCGTCTCCTTGGCCATGCTAGCCTTGCGTCCTGCGGATGACTGATTGACGGGAGAACGCTTTTCAGCCTTTTCGGGTCCAAGCCCTCTGCCTTGCAGCTTCAGCCATCGCACCACCCTCGACCGCCCGTCGCCAGGTCCCCCAGGAAGATGAAAATGAGGGGCATGCGGCCTTCCCTGTGAAATTCAGAGCCGTTCGTGACCCGAGGCCATGGCCGACAAGAAGAAGCTGACCCAGGCCGAGCTGCTCGAGCTTCTGAGCCCGCCCCCCTTCAACCAGAAGCGGGGGCCCCGGGCTATGGAGAGCAGGGAGTTTCATGAAGTCTTTTTTGTGAGACCCCATCAGGAAATGCGTGCCACCGGATGCAGTGATCCAGACTTCCCCAGAGGAGCGTTGGTGGAGGTTCGGATGAGCCCAGAGGAGAGGGGGAGAGAGAGAGCGCCACGAAGGAGCTTTGACTTATTCCAGAGCTACCCGAGTTTTGCCCTGCTAGGTCGGATTCTCCACGTCTTCCCGGTGATGAGTTCCCAGATGTTCCTGTTCAGAAGGGGTTCGAAACTCGTGAGCGACTTGTGAAGATGCAAGTCCCTCCACTGGTCCCGAAGCTTGCGCCATCTTGCGCCTGTGTCAGGTCGAACCCCTCGCTGTCTGCGACTGCCGGGTCCAAGGCGCGAACAAGTTCTCTGGAGTTGAACATCGGTTTAGTTTGCTTGTTGGATACAGAACTATGCACGTGAGACGCGATGACACATGAGCGTGTGTGGAATGCAGCGCCCAGGGCCACGGACTCCGCTCCGGACCAGTATGCTTTCAAACGACTTCGCAGACCGGCTGCGGGACTGCTGCGCATTTCAAGATGGAGGACTGACTAAAGTGATTAAAGCTGAAGCGAGAAGCTGTGGAGCGAGTGGAGCGCGTAGCGAAGAGTCGAATTGGATCACGAAGCTTTTCCAACACTCTTGGCAGGAAGGTGTGCCTCCGGTAATCTCTGGCTTCAGCCACGGGCCCAACTCGTGTTACTCGCATGATGCACTACGAGCGATGCTGCTTCACCTCAGGTGGCCACTTCCCTGGCAAGCAGGGTGCCAACATCATTGGCGCCACTTTTGACAAGCTGCGGACCAAGCCGCTGCAACCGCTGAACTTGTGGAGTTTCTTTGAAACTTTTGCGAGCGGAGTTCGCGATGGCAGGTCCTACACCGAGTCTTTGTCGCACACCATCTCGCTTGGGAAGTGAGGCGTTCCAGAAGCGCAGTTTGCCGTCCATCGGTTTTCCGCTTTGACATGCTCACAGCATTGCCGAAGTGTGGCCGATGCCAATGGCATGATGCCGAGAGAGGTTCAGGAAAACAGATGGCCGAGCAAAGAGACTTCGGCACGGCGTTTCACCGCAAGGCCTCAGCGCACGTCTAGGCTCCTGTTGGTTTAGTGATGGAAGAATGCACTCTGCGAAAAGAATATGCGCATGTCTTTGTGTTGCAAGTTCGATCGAACTCTCGTTACAAGACGAGGGCTCGTCGAAGTCTTGCACGGGGCCATTGCCTCCTTCAGCTTTGTTACGGCAGATTTTCCCAAGTTTTTTGGGACTGTTGAGCAGAGCATGAGGAGCTTTTTCGGATCTGTTGTGTGCATGACCGGGCAAAGCTTGCCCGCTGCTCCAAGCAGCATCACGCTGCAGCAAGCTACTCCTGCCACAAGAAACAGAGCAAGGGTCTCAGCATGCTCGTCTTGTCTCCCTATGCCACTGTTGTCATGCTGACAGCCTCAACTGCACTTTCGCGGCTCGCGCAAAAAGGTGTACATAGCTGCAAAGATTTCTGGGATGTTAGCGGGGGCTGGTGCAAGATGCGCTGCCCAGAAGCTCAGTAGATGTAGGCCCTGTAGGCCATTCACGGTTGCGTGGCATGACGCTGCTGGGGAGGAGGCGCCATGCGTCGCTGGTCGAGCCGGCCTTGCCAGAAGAGCCCTGCAAGTTGCCCTTGAGAGGAAGTCGAGCGACAGTGGGCCGGCCAGTCCCAAGCGGAAGATCCACGAGCGGCTTGGAGAGAAAGTGCCCGCAAACCGAAGCCGACGTCTTGTCTGTCTGTTGCTCAGGTCGAAAACCGAGTATGGAAGAGATCCGGCCAAAGCAATGGACCACCTGCGGCAGTTTCTGATATCTGCCGCAGGTGGGCGGCGTCTTCTGTCTGAGCACGTGAGGAGCAGGAGCTTGCTACTTCAGGTTCGGTGCTGCGGGCCTGGGTCGAGTTCTTGGATGAAAACAACGCCGCACCCCCGGCTTCCGAGATCGTTACGATCGTTTCTGACGGTGTTTGAGCCGACAAGGATCAGAGGATCTCGAAGATGGAGTTCAGCCAAGGCCTAGTGTAATTCGCGCACGATTTGAGCTGATTCCACTAAGTCACCCCGAATAGGCATGCGGAAGTTAGGCTACACCGGCGATGTTTTCCGGCTTTTCTCCGTCCTGGACGGCGCAAAGCCCTCAGTCACGCCGAGATCGTCATCAGTTGGAAGCTTCAAAATTTCCAGGATGAGTCGGCTGAGTTGACTCTCGTGGGTGCCTCAGGCATTCTGTTGGAGGGGGCTTGTCCAGTGTTCGGTATTATGACGACGCGGGAGTTGGCTGAGGATGAAATTGACATGAAGCAGGCGACATTGTGGAGAAATTTCCGCATGTTCGCTGTGGCTGCTTTCAAAAGTGCCGAGGACCTTCGATAGACTTCTGCCCTTGTGGCCATGTTTTTGTGGTAGAGCAGCCGGATGTGCATGGTCAGTCGCTGGCTGCGATCTCTGTCAGGAGTTGATCCAGCAGCTGGCTCAGAGCATAGAGCAGGAGTACAGTGAGTACAGGTGCTTTCTTTTGCGAGCGTCGTAACACGGTCGCTTTCTGACAGGGCAGCAGCACCAATCCAAGGAAATGTGCCGACTGGTCCGCAGACATCACGCCGGAGATGGCCAGCGTCCAGAAGGACAGGCCGAAGGCCGACGAGACTGAGCTCTTCTCCCCGCAAGCTGCCAGTGCCCGTGGGGCGCTTCCGTGTTTTTTGCAGGCTTTTCACCTTACGCGTGAGGAGTTCTGTCAGGGACTCACCGCGTGTTTGCGCCTTTCTTTCGCCAAGCTGCCGGAACAGTAGCAATAGCTGTCGAAAGCGCGGAGGAGCACTGTCCTGACGTGTGGAGGCACAGGCATTCGCAAGTGTGGCTGGAAGCACAGCGTTTCCGACCTCAACTGGGCCTGCTCCCGAGCAGACGTGGAACCGTGCTTGAGTGCTGAAATCTTCTTTCCAGGTTTATGATGCCCTCGAGGACAAGGATGACAACCTCTTGAGGCCCAGCAGCCTCAGCTGGAGCCTTAAGATGCCTTAAGCTGGGCCTACACGGGAACAGCGGAAGACTGTACTGGTTCTACGACTTCCTGTTGAAGTTCCTAGGTTGGCTCGCGACCGAGTACGCGCGAAGGCAGAAGAAGCAAGAGGCCAAGATCAGGTCGAAGAAGTGGCAGGTTGGGCGGGAAACCGGGGATCCCGTAAGCCCGAGGTGTTTTTCTCTTGGCTTCGGTTTCGGTTGTGATGGCCTTCAATGTGGAGATTTTGGTTCGGGCACATTAAGCAGCAGTTCACTCATGACAGCTCTCACAACCCTGCCTCTATTTCTATAGTATTTTGAGTGTCAAGGATGCACTGTAAGGAGGTCTGGGCCGTGTGTCCCCATCCCCTCGGAGGGCTTTCAAGCTGTTGCGTCGTGCCACAGGTCCTCAGGATGCGCCAAGAGGCATCTCCACAGGATAAGCATCGCCATTTCAAGACCTTCAAGGCTGTCTGCTCACGTCTTGTTTTGGGAGTGTGTTGTCTGGTTGTGGGAGTACAGCAGGCCTTCCTTCGCAAGAAGCACGGCAACCTGATCCGCGGCTGGCGCCAGGCCCTTTCCCAAACCGATTCGATGGTGCCGTCCCGAGACCTTTCTGACAGCTACGCTGCACGACTCGCCTTCTCTTGTTTACCCGAGCTTGCCGTGAGGTCCTCTCCAAGCTGCACTTCATGAAGGTGCCAAGTCACGTTCTTTGCCGGCTGCTTGCTTTTGAAAGCCTCTTCTAGGCCGCAGCTCGGCTGGGCTTCGCGAAGGAGTCGAGAGACCTCTGGAAGTCGCTGGACAAGGATGACAGCGGGTCAGCCTCCATCGATGAGCTTGATCCAAGAAGCGCCGAAACTCTGGCGCACTTCAAGGTGGGTAATTGCAGATAAGTTCCCAACACAAAGAAGACTATAGCGTTCTGCAGGCCTGGGTCAACTCTCAGTTCGGGGGGGTCCGGGAAGCCTTCAAAGCCATCGACTCGGACCACACGCGCTTCATCACCTGTGCGGAGTTCACCGCAGCTCTGCAACGATTCGGGTTTCAGCGTCCGACGAAGCAGCTGTTCAGCCATTTGGACAAAGACGGCAGTAACAAGATTGACCGGAACTCAGACTGGAGAAGTGTCCTACGATGGCCGTCCGACCCTTCGTTCAGCTTCTGTGCACAGTGAGGTCATGGATGATGTGCTCTTCTTGGACAGCTGGAATCCCCTGCCCTTCTTGTTGGCGCCTCCGAACTTCAAGGCGTCCACACATGTCACATGGGCACTTGGCGCTTTCTCCGACAGCTTGCGTCGTGACACAGTGACATAGTGCGTTTCCTTGGAGGCTATGGCGGAAATCAAGAAGTTGATCTTGGTGCGGACCGGGCAGTACATGAAAGCATGGTGCAAACCTTGAGCCCTTGACAGCTAAAGTGACGCGTAGTGCGCGTTGCTGAGGCGACGCCTCCTAGACAAGGATGCAACGAACCGCCGCAGCCTGTGCTGCACATTCTGCTGGAGCTTATGGAGGTTTCATACTGTACCTGTCCGAGGCTGCAACTGGTACGAGTTCAAAACCACTTGTCACGTGCTAGGCTACACCGGCGACTTGTCTAAAGCGAGCTCGGACTGCGGACAGCTCCGCTGGGTTGTTGAGACCGGGGAGTGCTCAGCAAAGGTGACATTGCGGGAGCTTGGCGGGCCTTCGACGATGACCTGCCTGATGCTCAGAGGGAAGGGCTCCAAATGCGCCGCCATGCCTTGCAAGATGCTCGCTGCATGTTAATTACTCCTTGCAGGTCTGGATATATATCTCTCCGCCAGATAGACGAGGAATCCGACATGGTGTTGTCCAACTTCAGGACCCGCCAAAACTGCCCTGAATCCAGTATCAGCCAGTGCCACGCAGTCGTGCTCTTCGGAAGGCGCTGGTGCATCGCCGAGTTCGGTTCGGTGAGGTCCGCGTTTGCCGTTTTCGACTCGGACTACTCGGGCAGCCTCAGCTTCCAGGCGCTTTGAAGGAACTTGTGGGCGTCGAGTGCGGTCGTTGGGTGCTTGAGGAATTTCGAGCTGCCTGCCGAGTGTATGGCTACGACGGATCCCCAAGGCTGGGAGGCGATTTTTTTCTCGTGCTGTGGAGTACGCTACTGTACAGTCCGGCAGGACTCTTTTCTCTGCCCTCGATGTCGATCAGCAGGGCACGCTGACCCTGTGTCTTGGCTATGCCGCCACGCAGGAGTACTTCGTTTATGTCGGAAAGACAGGGTGGATCAAGCTTGGTCGAGCAGTGTTTCTGGTGTGTCTTCGAAATACCGTCATACCGTCAATCCCAGCTGAGGAAAGAGGTCGTGTTTTTGGACGACTGGGAGATTGATGCCACTTGTCCTCAGGTTATGGAGTGCAAGAGAGTCAGGAATTCACAGGCACGGAGAAGCCGGTAGTGGCACTGGGCACTGGGCTCAGGCTGAGGACGAGTTTGAAGACGGTCATCGTACAGGTCCGTGTCCCAGCTGTGCCGGAAGCGCACCCCAGTGGCTCCCGTCGTGCAAGAGAAGCGAGCACAGGACTTGCGGCAGCATCGAAGGCTCCGCAACGCTTCAAAGACCGGGCTGCCCAGAGACTTGCGTGTCCGAGCAGGCGGGGCTGCAGACTGGAGCCCGAACCGCGATCTCAAAGCTTACAGACGACCCGGCTGCATGCTCAAAGTGCCAGTTGGTTGAGCATCTGTGTCCATGTCTTTTCAGCATGCATAGCCTCAGGTTCGAGCTCGCCGGGTGGCCAGGCTGGAATCCGCAATGTTGTCCTGCGCTTTCCGCAGCTCCTGAGAAGTGAAGTAGTTGATGTACATCTGCAGAGGCGAAAATGTCCGGACCTTACAGCCTTACGTGTCACTCACGCAATGCTGGTCGACAACTCCCCGCATCGGGCCCAGACGAGCTGCGCCAACAAGCGGTTCCTGAAATACCGCGGCTGCGCTTGTCCAGAAAAGGCACAACACCCGTCCGGTTCCAGCGGCTCAATCTTCTTTGTGCCTCCGAGGCGATGGTGAGTACAGCTGGTCTTTTACCGATCCTTGGCAGTCCGGGAGTGCGAGCGCGTGCACGCCTCAGTGGCCTCGAGGCAGAGCATCTGTGTAGCATAAGCGCTTTCAGTGAGCATTCCTTTCCAAATGCGCACGATCCACGAGCATGTGTGCTGCAGCATGAGGCGGGCTTGGATGCCGTCACAAGACAGGTCTCTGTCGGTGAGAACAGTGAGGACATCAAGACTGGGACAGGACCGTGAAGAAAATGGGGTGTGCTCTTGGCGCCTAAAGCTATTGTGTCCCACGGGCTGTGGAAAAGATTCGGCTCCGCTTGGGAGTGCCTCAGGATGAAGCCAATCGCACGGACATGAGCCAGGACTTTGCTGGGGCACAGGAAATAGTGAGTCCAACAGCCCTGTCCTTTCCCTTGCGCAGGACTTGGTTTTGTCCGAACTCTCCAGTTCCTTCCTAGGTGGGATGCTCAGCGCCGTCTTGCGCGGGGGACCCACGAAATCATTGCAAGGGCCGACTCCGGCAGATGAGTTGGCAGTTGCTTCCCTGGTGGAGACGGTTCAGGCCCCAGGAGCAATGCACAGAGCTGTGAAGTCAGGGGGACGAGGGTTCTGCATCTAGGTGGGGCTGCCAAGCACTTCCAGATCAAGTCCAGAAGGCTTCGAGATGCTTTCGTCTTTCATGACTATGCACCGAGTGCTCGCCAGGATTCTCGCCCCGCGGGCCGGCGACCCAGAACACGAACGCGGATTTGGCAAGTTTGCACTGGATGCAGAAGGAAGTGAAGCATGCGTTGCGGGCGAGCTGCCTCAGGTTGTCGCCAGAGGCCCCAAGACCGCGCACACAGCCGAACCCGGTGGTTCCGCGGATGTTGTCACGTCCCTTCCTGAGTTGATTCCCTCGTGGGAGCTGGCTCAATGCCACGGAAACTGAGGTTTGGATGACTTGCTGGGGGCTGTTGCTGCTAAGCCTTCGCTGGATGAACTTCTCTCCAACCCCAGAGTGGGACCGCCTTTGAAGGCTCCCCGGAAGGCCCCGCCGTCACCTCGTGAGCCAGAGGACGTCTTGCTGCGCTGTTCAACGAAGGTTCCGGTCAGCAGAATCGGATCGTCTTATTCGAAGTCAGTTGCTCCTCGGATGCTCTAAGTCCATCCGGCCAGTCGCGTGTCCGTTTCGTACCTGAGGCTTACTACGCTTGACCTGGTGAGGGTTTCCAGATGTTTGCTGGGATCCTTGTTTTTGTAACTGCCGAGCTCGCTGAAGCTTGTACCTGTCTGGCATGCAAGAAGCGATGCCGCAGCAGGAAGCCAGCAAGCAGGAATCACAACAGAGCGAGCGAAGCTCCCGTCTGAACTTCGGGCAGCGCCCGAACACCAGCATCCATGGTCGAAGAGATCTGCCTGGGTGTCGAAAATCACTAAAATAAGCGGAAGCCTAGCAGGGTAGAACTTGTTCACAGCAGCAAAGACAGCGAGCTAGCTGCCAGTGGTCCAACGCGGCGTGGCATTCGTTTCTCGCAGGTTTGATTTCAGCCAGCATGTCGGCATGCTTCCCCAAGCAGTGCAGTGTCTATGCTAAGCCCACGCTGATACGCCTAAGCGACCTGGGCCAGTCGATTGGTTTAAAGCTGCGCCAGCGCTCTGCAGCCATGGACTGAGCTCGCCATGGCAGCCGAGCCTGATGGAGGCTGGACAAGAGGGTGGGCACTACCTGGCTATATAAGGGGTATATAAGGACTATACAATGGTTATTTAAGGTAATGGGATGAAGGGTCCCTATTAGGGGTCCCTCCTAAAGTCCTTAGATCCTTGATGCCAGGCACTCCGGCGCTTACGAAGGTCAGGGATTTCCTGATCTCAACTTGTGGATCTGTTCTGAAAGCCTGGCCCAGGACTCAGTTGTGAGAGGGCTTGGGCATGAGAGAGGGGCCTTGTCTTTCCTTTCGCAGGCTGGCTCACTTCGATGTGGACCTGGACTACAGGGTCTCAAAGATCCTTGGCTGACGATTGCAGATCGTCCTCACTGCCGCTGCGAGAAGCGAGGATCGAGTTTGCCGATGGCATGCGGAACCTGGGGTACACGGCCGGAGAGCTCCACAAGTTATTTGCCGAGATAGATGCCGTGGAGCTCCCAGTCTCCACCACGGCATTGTGCTTCTTGATGCTCCTTGCAAGATGGGAGATTCCGAAAATTAGGGTACCTTATTTTGGGGTCCTTATAATATGAATCCTACTATTTAGGGTACTATATTAGGGTCCCTTATTTTCGGAAACCCCCAGATCTTTCCAGGATGGCTCCGGCGAGATTGTGCTGGCCCGGACCCCAAGCAGAGCACAGAAGCCCTGAGGAGTTGCGTCTGTTCAGTCCTTCCCATGTAAATGCCAGGATGAGCTGGATGAGGAGCAGGCCATGCTGTGGAACACCTTCCGCTCGTGGGCCGTGGGCTGCCTCAGCTGAAGACACTCCCTTCAAGACTCGTCGGACACGGATCTGGCATCGGCATAGCCGAGGTTCAGAATTTCGTGAGCGTAGAGGCCCCTTTGCTCACTTTTGAAGACTTGTGGACGGTTCTCCTTCTTCGCCAGGACATGATGCTCAGCTTGACGGAGGATGAAAGTACAATGAATCCTTCCACGAAGGCACGCCCAAGCACTTCGGCGGTACACTAGAGTGGCCTAGAGGCTCCTAGCTCTCTGTCTATCGTTGCAGTTGGCAGAGTGGGCTGAGGTTGTTTGAGCACGCATCTCGTGACCACACCGTGTTGCAGGACTTGGAGTGCATTTCGCAGGAAAGCTTCTGCCGTCGGCTGAGACGAGCGGGAAGGGATTTAGAAGGAGCGTGGCCGCCAAACACTCCAGTCGCAGCCGCAACCGCAGCGTGCGCTTGCATCGATTAAGGACATTGCACCAGATTTGCCCAGCCATCGTCGTTGTAAGGAGCGCATACGGGGTCAGGGGGTCCTGGAGCCTACATGGGGGTAGGTCGGGCAGCATGTCCGCTCCCCTTAAACGCATTCGAGAAGTTGGTTGGCGGTCGGTGCCAGACCGGGGGGTAGCAGGGTGCAGTGTGTTCCACGAAGAGGGCAAGGGTGGCCAGGGGGAAGGAAGCGGGCGGGCTTGAGTTTGGCGACACAAAGGGGGTGAAGAAGAACCAAACACGCAATGCCAGGATTCGATGTTAAAGCTTCGATGCTTGCGCGAGATCGATGCAGTCCTCTTGACAAGAAGGGATGTTGCACTTTCCGAAGACCACGATTAAAGCCGCCGCCTTCGGCTTCGGTCCGATTCCGTGCTGAAAAGGAACAAGCGCCGACACGAACAGAACACCCTACGGCGAAAAAGGGCAGCACCCCATCCGCTCGGCCCGGCCTTCTAGAGACAGAGCTCAATCTACAGCCAACTCCAGCCATTTTTGTGGTGAAGCCGGGAGTGTCCAGGCCGTAAGGATTTGTATTCTTTCTGAGGCAAGAGGCTTCCAGAGCTCAACTGGAAGGCCAAGGGCAGCCTTGGACCAGCACAGTTTCAGTTACAACTCGTACCCGTCAGGCCGGGCAAGAAGAGCTTCTTTTCTCAGTCTTAGACTTCGACGAGGACGGCCTTCTCAGACCAAGCTGCTTCCGCTCGGAGCCCGGAGGCGGATGACATTACGTAACACTCCAAACCCTCAGCCCTATCCATCCCGCAGATAGACTTCAACCTCTAACTCCGCATGCCAGTGATTGCCCGCATGCTTTCTGGCGGTTTTGCAGGTTTGGCAGGGCTTCGGCCCGGGTTTGGGTTTCGGCCGCTTTTTTCTGGGATCTCGTTTTGGGCTGCGTTGGACGGGAAAGGTGCGGAAGGCAGGGATGACAAGGTCATCCGACACAAGGAGGGTATGTCTGTTGCTGGTAGTGGTAGTAGCAGCAGTAGCAGTAGCAGTGGCAGGCGTGGGCAGTAGTGGCGGTAGTAGTAGTAGTAATAGTAGTAGTAGTAGTAGTAGTAGTAGTAGGAGCATACACCCCAAGCCCGTGCTCAAAAGTAGTACGAGTAGCAGTAGCAGTAGTAGCAGTAGTAGCACTAGTAGCAGCAGTAGTAGTAGTAATAGTAGAAGTAGAACTAGAAGTAGAAGCAGTAGTAGTAGCAGCCGCAGTAGCAGGAGGCTACTGCTACTGCTGCTGCAACTGCTACCTGCACTGCTACTGCTGCTGCCGCTGCCACTGCTACTGCTACTGCTGCCACTACTGCTGCCACTACTGCTGCCACTACTGCTACCACTACTGCTCCCACTATTACTCCTACTCCTACTACTACTACTACTACTACTACTGCTGTTACCACCACCACCACCACCACCACTATTGCTTCTACTGCTGCTACTGCTACTACTACTACTACTACTACTCCTCCTACTCCTGCTACGAACTAGACTCTGTAGCACTACTATTGCTACTACTTTTCGTACTACTACTACTACTACCACTACTACTACTACTACTCCTGTTGCTGCTGCTGCTGCTACTGCTGCTGCTACTACTTCTACTATGACCGCGACTGCGACTGCGACTGCGACTGCGACTGCAGCTGCTGCTAGTAGTAGTCGTAGTAGTAGTAGTAGTAGCAGTAGCAGTAGTAGTAGTAGTAGTAGTAGTAGTAGTAGTAGTAGTACTACCACCACAACTACTACTACTGCGGATGCTACCACTACTGCCACTGCTTCTGCTGCTAAAGCTATGATTATTATTACTCTTATTATTTTTATTACTCTGCTACCACCACTGCTGCTGCTGCTGCCGCTGCTACTACGACTACCACTATTGACAAAACTATTGCCGCCACTACTGCTGCTACTACTACTAGTATTTCTTCTTCTTCTTCTACTACTACTACTACGGCCGCCCTACTACTACTACTACTACTACTACTGCTGCTGCTACTGTTGCTGCAAGCGTTGCTACAGTATTATACTGTAGCAAGGCTTGCAGCACCTCGGATTGGAGTTGCTGCTGTTGTGTGTGCCATAGTATCGTAGCAGAGTTTATCAACTGATCAGGTAGTTTGATAGTTTACGATTAAGTTAACGGTATGTTTGCTACAATGTACTTGTGGCATCTAGCTGGCTTTTTCTGAGGTTATTAACCGATCCGGTAATAAGATGGTTAAGGGCATGTTTGTTACAATGTTCTTTCCGCAATAGTTCAGAGTCTGCGGCCAATTGGCTGTTTCAAGACTATCATAAGTCTACAGCATGTACGCAATGCTGTCTACTTCTGTTTCTTTCTCATTAAAGTAGTACGAACCAGGATAGTAGTTTCGGTATTTCCCATAAGAGCACAAGCAACTGTTGGAGTAGTATGAATAGTGATGATAGTGGTATGAAAAATGGAGGTGACGCGGGCTATCATAGTTGACATGTCCTGCCGCCGCGGCCAGACATCAATGTGCAATTGTCCAACAGGTAAGGCCTCCAATGCGACCCGAAATGACAGTCGGAACCGAAATGAGGTTGGTTGGGAATTGAGCTGAAGCGACTTCAGCGGAAGCGGGCGGCTAAAGCCAGTGCAGTCAAGGCACCGGCCTGTCAAATCGCAGCTATCTACTGTAATTCGTCAGAACATTTCCTAGCTATTGCCCTATTGCTGCGATGGTGTTTGCAAGTAATTATGTTATGTTTTTCAGGTTTCAGTTTACGTTTGCAGAAGTCTTGCTTTTATTCGGATGGTGACATCTGCTTGCGGTATTAGTATTATTGCCACTGTAATCATTTGTTCTCATTACTCTTGTTATGTTATCACGGCCATTACCGTTCTAAACGGAATTTAGCTGTCCCGACTACTGCCAAGAACATCATTATCGTCATCGCTGCTGTTGTTTGTGCTGTCGTCGACATCTTCTCGAGTGTATGTCGGGAATCCTGATGTACGCAGAGAGCCGTAGCCAAAATACCCTGGAGCTGGTTGTGAGTTCGTGCTCCCCAAAGCCCGATGCAACAAGCCCTGCTAGAAGAAGCCTTCCGGATCACAGCAAAATGCGTTGGAGCAAGAGCTACTGGACTGCATCGGATTTCCTGTGGCTATGTGCAGTGCATAGCCAGCGTTTGGACACCGAGGCTGCACGAGTTCAAAGAAGATCTCCGAAGAAGGCCGGTTGCGCCTCAATTTCGAAAGACCCGAAGCTACATGTTGCAACCGTGGCCACTTGCAATCTCAATGTCGAGCAGTAGCATTGTCGGTGAAACCGAGAGTGCGCCCTAGTTTCCCATTGCGGGTTGGTGCATGCATGTGTGTGAGTGTGCGTGTGCACATCTCATGCGGGTAAGTCTGTATGTATGTATGTCTGTATATAGTCGTTTTCCCGATGTTTTCTGTATGTAGTTGCATATGGTTTATGTATGGTGACTGTAAGTTTCATGTATGACGAGCTTTGCTGTGCGAATACGTTGATGCGCGTCAATATTCTAT